TGAGAGAAAGATAAGATCATCAGCTTCTACAAAGATTTACAGCCTCAGAAACCCTAAAAAGAGTTGCTGTGAGTCAGAATAAACTCGATGGCAGTGGGTTTGATTTTTGGGTCAAGTTAGGGGTAGTTTTTATTGGGAAATTGGATTTTCATACATACTTACAGGACAGTGACAGAACACTCCAAAAAGAGTGCAAAACAAGACTTGGAGACAAGGAGAGATTAGAACTATATTGGTCTCTTCGTGACTTCAAGAATTGGCTATTCTGAATATGAAAGAGGGCTTGATGTTTTCGTTTATATAGTAAGTTGGCATTTAAGCTGGATATAGGTCAAAACCCTTTCAAAACGTGAATTCACTATGACTAGGACTTGACTGGATAGCACACAAGAACAACAAATTGTTCTCTATTATTGGAATTTCAATTTTTTTTAAACTTCAATTGCCAGCGTTGTGTAAAATGTAATGTTATTGGAAACAGCTAAGGCATGAAAATTCAACAATACATTTTTCTATATGAAAACATCTTATAATTTTGTGTATTTAATTTGTGTTTATTAATGTTTTTCCTCTCCATTAAAGTTGAGGCTTTCAAGAGCATGGGTCTTAACCTTCCTCACTATCTCCAGGTGTGTGCTGTTACCTGACTGTAAGAAGAATCTATTGACTGTTGCTATTAAGATTATGACCCAAAGTCATGAAATTGTAATACATAACACATTTCTGAATAGGATGAAGTTTAGAGACTCATCCAAATTATTTTAGGGATTCCTCAAATAGTAATATAGTTTGCCTAGTTAATCAATAGCTCATGAAATACCTTTGCTAACTGGCAGTTTATTATTTTAGTGTTATATTTATCATGAGGCATTTATCCTTCAAGTATGTTTAACTAATCTGGACTAGTCTGTGTGGAAAACCTTGAGAAGTTTAGGCAAAGGAAGTTAAAGACAAAAACCTAAACAGAATTTTGCCAGAGAGAAACTGGACTTGGAGCTATAAGAACAGTTGGGTGACTTCATTTAATTTGCTCATCTTTTTGAACATGACTCATGGGATATATAAGTTTCCAAGTAGAGGTAGAGGTGTTTTGTTTTGTTGGTTGATTACTCTTTTCCACCTAATGATCCAAGAAAAATACTGAGTTCATTATGTTAGAAACTTCTGAAATCTTCCTAGGAAAGGAAATTCAGACAGCTCTAAACTTCCCATCTTCGTGACAGATAAAAGTGATGACAAGTTCCTTTTTAGGAATTACGCACTCATCTAAAAGCTCAGTTACAAGTTCTGTCACTTCACTCTATCAGTAGATAACTCATTGCCATCCAGTTTATACAGTCTCATAGGGGCCCTTTGGTACACAGTAGAACTGCTCCCTAGGGTTTCTGAGACTCTAAAGCCTTATGGGAAGAGACAGCCTTATCTTTCTTCCATATAACAGCTGGTGGGTTTGAACTTCTGACCTTGTAGTTAGCATCCGAACATCTAACCCATTATGCTAACAGGGTTCTCTGTTGCCCCAAAACCAATAGGAGTAATGATTTTACTACAGTATGATATCCATCTGCCTTGAAGATAGACATAGCCACTAAGAAAATAATCTGAATATGAAAAGAGGGCCTGATGTTTTAATTCATATAGTAAGTTGGCATTTAAGCTGGATATAGGTCAAAACCCTTTCAAAACGTGAATTCACTATGACTAGGACTTGACTAGATAGCACACAAGAACAACAAATTGTTCTCTATTATTGGATTTTCAGGTTTTGTTTTAAAGCTTCAATTGCTAGCATTGTGTAACATGTAGTGCTATTGGATTGATATTGTGATGCTATTGGTGAATTTGTTTTAAAATGTTAGGCTATAACCACTGTCATCAAGTTAATTCTCATTCAGAGTCACCTTGTAGAGTAAGAACTGTCTCTTTGGATTTCCAACACTGTAAGTCTTTACTCGAACAGAAAGCCCTATCTTTCTCCTGCAGAGTAGCTGGTGGGGTTGAACTACTGACCTTGTAAATGTAAATATCTTGTTGGAAAGAAGGAAAGTGATGACACAGGGAAAGCATGTCTGGTAGTGTCTTTCCTAATAAATTCTAGTTCAGACTGGGTAGAAAATAGTCTTATAACTTGTACAGAATTTTTAAATTGCCATCTAATAGTTAGAAATAAATATCTTAATAGAGAATCCTGTTCAACAAATATTTGAGAGTCATTGGCGTTTTGAATACATCAGTGAACAAAAACAAAAAGGTCATCTCTTTGGAACTGATGTTGTAGTGAAGAAATGAGCAAACTTTTTCTATAAAGGACCAAATAAGTATTTTAGGTTTTGCATGTGACTTTGTTTAAATAGTACTTTACTTAAAATAGTAGCTCACTGGATTGGCTGCAGGCCATAGTTTCTCAGTTGCTGTTCTAGTAGGTGGAAACAGGATTAATATGAGTTGGAATCAACTACATAGCATTGAGTTGTATGTAATAAATGGTTTGAAGAAAAGGAAAATACAGCAATCAAAAAAGTAGTTGTGTGAGCTAAGGGTTGGCCATTTGGGTTGAGGTCAAGAAGATAATAAAAGAACAAAAGAAATTGGAAAAAAAGTGATTGCTGAGATAAAAAAAGAAAAAGATGGTAGTATCTTGGAAATCAAACGAAGAGACCTGTATACAGGGTAAAGAAGGGGTCGTCACCTGTATCAAATGTTGCTCATAGTCCAAATAGAGGAAGACTGTGCTTAAAGCATCAAATTTAATTATGTGGAAAATTGCTAATTATCTTGAATAAGTTAAAGAATTGAAGGGGAGAGAAAAAAGACAAGTGAGTACAGGCATACCTCATTTTATTGTGCTTTACCAGTGCTGTGTTTTGTTTTGAGTAATTAAAGGCTGTAGCAGCCATGTCTTGAGTATCAGGGCCATTTTTCAATAGCATGTGCTCACTTTGTGTCTCTCACATTTTGGTAGTAATTCTCACAGTATTTCAAAGATTTTCCTAATACTGCTGTACACTCAATAGACACAGTATACTATCCATATTAACTATTAAATCACTAGGAAACCAAAAAAATGTATAAATCACCTTATCGTAATACTCACTTTATTGTGTTGGGCTAGAACCAAGCCAGCAATATTTCTGAGGCATGCCTGTATAAACAACTCTTTGTGGAATTTGTTGCAAAGGGAGCAATGAAATGGAGCTAGGGAAGACGATTAATCAGAAGTTTGCTTTCTTTTATTTTGATTTTTTTTAAAGATGAATGAAAGCGTGTGTGTTTTAAAATGATCCGGTAAAAAGTAGGAGGGAAATTATTTGAGAGAGTAGGGAGAATTGCTGGAGCTGTGATCTTGAAGGGATGAAATCGTGTATGACTGAAGGGGTAGACTTTAGATAGATGTGATGTTGGCAGGTGGGCACCTGTACTGGAGAGAGTCGTAGATGTTCTATTGTGGCCTCAGTTTTCTGATGAAAGAATTGAGAGAATGTCGGCGTTAAGGTGCTGAGATACAGTTCACCTATGGTCTTCTAGTGACAGCATTTAAGGGTCTTTGACTTCATACCTTCTGAGTTATACATTTACTCTAGCAAATTTATATATTTTGAAAATGAAACTCCATATTATGAGATTAAATAATAACGATACATACCTTTACTTTAGCACAGCATCTGGTATCATATAAGCACTCCGGAAAACTCTGCCTGTTATTGTTAGAGGATAAAGAGATAGTATGGACTGAACTAGGCTTACTGTACTTTTTTTCCTAAAAGATACTTCATCGTTTTAAATGATATGTAAGTTAGAGTTGCCACTTATAATTAAGCATGCTACATTTATTTATTTATTTGTTTGTTTTTTAAGCATGCTACATTTAAATCATAGGTCCTTTGACGTCTTTCCTATGGGTCTTTCTACTTCACAATGTGATCTTTCTTTATATAGTGCCTAGCAACCAGGGGAACTCTGGAACAGGGGCCAAATAGATGGATACCTTGTTCTTACACCTTTATTATGTTTACTATGTTAACTTTTTTATACAATGAAAACAAACTGCTTTTGTGTATAGGATCCTCCTTTAGATTGTAAACCCCCAGAAGGTAGGTAATAAGTCTTTACAGTCTAAGAAAATGTCTCCAGTAACAGTTTGTATGTAGAAGTTATTCAACAAATATGATTACTAAATCCAGAGGTTTCCTATTTCTTGGCTAAAATTTATATATAGCTATTGGAATGCCATAAAAACTGGCATCATGATCATGAAAGCAAGTTTGTTAGAGAATAAACCAAATTAAAATGCAGCATATTGCAAGTCAATATAAATTTACTTTGTGTAACTCTACAAAATAGCTTGGGCTACCTTTCCATACTGCATCAAGAAGCAGTAAAGTCCGATAAGTAATATTCTTACCAAGTGCTAGAGAATTTAATTTTTCCCCAGAACCATTCAGGAGGAGTAAACTAAAATGGCCCTTCCACTCAACAGTTAGTCCAAACCAATTCCCCTGCCTAATCTGTTCTGACTCACAGAGATCCCATGTAGGGTTTCTGAGATGGTGAATCTTTATGGAAACAGACAGCCTCATCTTTCTCCCATGGAACAGCAAGTACGTTTGAACTAAGCTTCTAGTTAGCAGCCCAGTATGTACCCCACTGTGCCACCAGGGCTTCGTTAACTCTGCAGTAGCTGGTTTGATCAAAAGATGAACATAAGAGGACTATTTCTTTTATAGGAAGTAGTTGTACTTGAATCTCTAATGGAATAAAGACAAAATTCTGAATAGATTGTACGCATCCTAGAATTTAAGAATTAAAATATGATTATTCATGATAATGGCAGAAATTCTAATTCTATTTAAATCTGACTTTCCATCGCATTTATAACAGTTATTTATAAAGCATGAGGCCATCCAACTTCATAAAAGTATCTTAGATTGTGGAAAATATATAACAAGTCATTTTTGGAAGCCCACTTTGTGCTGAAACACTTGTTTTCTTTGTATTTATAGGTCCAGTTGTTTACGTCCTGGATCTTGCAGATAGACTGATCTCAAAAGCCTGTCCATTTGCTGCAGCGGGAATAATGGTTGGCTCTATCTATTGGACAGCTGTGACTTATGGAGCAGTGACAGTGATGCAGGTTCACCATTTTACTCTGTTCGGTGGTACTGCTTTTGATGTGAAAATCTATTAAGTTGAACACTTAATATTTTGAATCGGTGACAATATTCTCATGTTTTAAAAATAGGAAAAAAATATAAAAAGCTATCAGTAAGGTCTTTCACTCTTGTTCTTCATTTATCTAGGGTACCTCCCCAGGTTCCCATTGTTGTTAAATTCATGTGTATTCTTTAAGTCCTTTCTTCATACATAGGCAAACAAAAATAAATATTCTCCCACACATTTTTTTTATCCAAAAGGAAATAATTTATAATTGTGTTCACCCCCTTTATTTTCCACAAGCAGTGAGCCTTGGAAACTTTTCCATATTAGTACACCAAAAACATCCTCATTCTTTTTTACAGCTTCATGTTAACTTATATATGGAATTGCAACCATTTACTAACTACTCTCTTGTTGATGAACAATTATTTGCTTCTAATTGTTTTGCAATTATAAAAAGTCCAGGTAAATAACTATTTATTAAGATTCAAACAAATGTCATTGTCATTGAGTCAATTCTGTCTCATGGCAACCCTATAGACCAGTGGTTCTCAACCTTCTTAATGCCATGACCCTTTAATACAATTCCTCATGTTGTGGTGACCCCACCCAACCATAGCATTATTTTCGTTGCTACTTCATAACTATAGTTTTGCTACTGTTATGAATCTGGCAACCCCTATGAAAGGGTCGTTAGACCCCCAAAGGGGTCGCGACCTCCAGGTTGAAAACCTCTATAGAACAAGGTAGAACTGTGGGTTTCTGAGACTGTTAAGTCTTATTTTTTAACTTAAAAAAAAATCATTTTATTGGGGGCTCTTACAGCTCTTAAAACAATCCATACATCCATCCATTGTGTCAAGCACATTTGTATATATGTTGCCATCATCATTTTCGAAACATTTTCTTTCTATTTGAGCCCTTGGTATCAGCGCCTCATTTTCTTCTCTGTCCCTCATGAACCCTAGATAATTTGTTACTGTTCTTTCATGTCTTACACTGACCACTGTCTCCCTTCACCCACTTTTATGTTCTTTGTCTCCCCACCTTCCCCCATCACTCCTGATATTGCTACTCTCGTTATTGGTTCTGAGGGATTTGACTCTGTATATCTTTATGAGACCAGAGATCCTCATCTTTCCTATTGCAGAGTGTCACGTTATTTCAATCTTCTGTCTTTGTGGTTAGAAACCCAACACATAAGCCATTGTACTACCAACTCTAATGAAGATTAGAGAGACCTAATTTCCAAATTTAATCCCATTCTTGAATCTTCTTTCTTTGTGTCTCTGAAAGATTTCAGCTTTCTTCTCTTTATTTTTTGTGTTTGGATCTATGTCTTTGGACCTGATGTTTCCCCAAATTCTGCCCTTCTCTTCTATCTTCATGCTTCCCCTTGAAATATCTCTACAGCAGCGGTTCTCCTCCTGTGAGTTGCAACCCCTTTGGGGGTCGAACAACCCTTTCACAGGGGTTGCCCGATTCATAACAGTAGCAAAGGACTTATATTTCTATATAAAGAGGACATTCAAATGGCCACCAAACGTGAAAAGATGCTCTGCAACATTAGTCACCAGAAAGATACACATCCAAACCACAATGAGATACTGTTTCATTCCCACAGGGATGGGTGACTAAAATAAAACTAAACAGAAAATAACAAATGTTGGCAAGATTGTAGGAAAATCAGAACCCCTACTTGTTACTGGTAGAAATGCAAAATGGTACAACTATTGTAGAAAATGATAGTTCTTTAAAAATAAAAATAGAATTATCATAACTCAAAAAACCCAAACTCTGAGAAGCTGAAAACATTCCCACTGAAAACAGGAACCAGACAAGGATGTCCTTATCAACACTGTTATTCAGCATTGTACTGGAAATCCTAGCTGGAGGCATAGGCAACAATAAGAAATTAAGGGAGTACAATCAAGCAAAGAAGTTAAACTCTGGGTATTCTCAGACAATATGATTTTATGGAGAGAGAATCCCACAGTCTACACAATAACATTGTTGGAAACAATTGAGGAATTTAATAAAGTAGCAGGATACAAGATTAACAAGCAGAAACTAGTAAAGAGGGATCCAAAAAAAGACATCAAGAAAACAATAAGATTCACAATGGCCACACAAAAGCTTAAATACCTAGGAATAAACCTAACCAAAGAAACAAAAGAAGGGGGTGGCGGGGAGGGAGGGCAAAAAATGAGGAGCTGAAGTAGGGCTCAAGTAGAAAGCAAATGTTCTGAGAATGATGATGGCAATAAACGTGCAAATGTGCTTGACATGATGGATGGATTGATAGATGGATTGTGATGAGTTGTATGAGCCCCCAATAAAATTATTTTAAAAGAAACAAACAAAAGAAAACTGTTTTCTATACAAAGAAAACTATAGAACATTAGTACAAGAAGCCAAAAGAGACCTACACAAATGGAAGAATATCCCATGTTCATAGATAGGAAAACTCAGTGTTGTGAAAATGTCGATACTACATAAAGCAATCTACACATTCAGTGCATTCCCAATCCAAATGCTAACATCTTTCTTTGAAGAAGTGGGAAAACTAATTGCCACCTTCATATGAAGAGAGAAGAGGCCCAGGATAAACAAAGAACTTTTCAAAAAGAAGAACAAGGTTTGGCCTTAGGTTACTTCACCTAAAAACCTACTACACAGCCACAGTTGTAAAAACAGCCTTGTACTGGTATAAGGATGGATGGGTGGGTGGATAGGATAAGATAAGATAAGATAAGATAGTCTAACCAATGGGCGAGGACCGAAAAGCAAATTCCTGCCAACAAGTGATTTTCTACAAAGGACTAAGAAACATTAAATGGGAAGGGAATGCCCTCTTCACAAACAGTGCTGAAAAAACTGTAGATCTGTCTGCAGAAGAATAAAACGACATGTCTCACCCCATGCACCCCTGCGCGCACACACAAGGAGAATCAGAGAGCTAAAGGTAAAACCCAAAAGTTATCAGGATCATCAAGGAAAAAATTGGAACAAACCTAAGGGTCCTAGTTCAGCGCATACACAGACTCTCAAATGTAACAAGGGAGCACACCCAATGGAAGACAAAGTAGAGTACTTTGTTGTTAGATGCCACTGAGTCAGCTCCAACCCATAGCGACCCTATGCACAACAGAACAAAACTGCACTGTCCTGCGCCATCTCACAAGTGTTCCTATACCTGAGCCCACTGATGCAGCGATCTTTTCTAGGGCCTTCCTCTTTTTCGCCACCCCTCCACTTTACCAAATAGTAAGTCCTTCTCCAGGGATTGGTCTCTTCTGACAGTATGTCCAAAGTATGTAAGATGAAGTCTTGCCATCCTTGCCTCTTAAGGAACACTCTGGTTTTATTTCTTCCAATACAAATTTATTTGTCCTTTTAGCAGTGTATGGTACTTTCAATATTCATCTCCAGCACCACAATTCAAATGCATTTATTCTTCCACGGTCTTCTTTATTCACTGTCCAGTTTTCACATGCATATGATGCAATACCTGGCATGAGCTTTCTGAAACATTTCAGTGGGTATTCCATCAGTTCCTGGAGCTTTGTTTCTGACTAATGCATTCAGTGCAGTTTGAACTTCTTCCTTCAGCACCATTGGTTCTTGCCTCATATGCTACTTGCTAAAATGGTGTGCTATTGACTAGTTATTTTTGATACAGTGACTCTGTGTATTCTTTCCATTTTCTCGATGCTTTCTCCATCGTTCAGTATTTTGTCTAAAACATTAATTTGCAATTCAAGACTTGAGGGTTTTTTATTTGTTTTTGTTTTGTTTTTTCAGTTGCAGATAGGTAGAACTTGTTCTTCCTTTTGGTTTTCTAATTCTGAGTCAGTGCACATTCTGTTATGATATTTGGCTTTGTCTTCTTGAGCTGCCCTTTGAAAGTTTCAATTCAACTCCTTGACTTCATCCTTTCATCCTCTTTTTTAATGACCTTTGCTTCATGCTTTCTTCGTGTCTTAATGTTCTCCCCGCTCATCAGGTTTTCTGTCATTAGTGTTAAATATGTCAAATTGGCCCTTGAGATGGTCTTAAAATGTTCAGGTTGGATAGACTCCAGGTTGTATTTTGGCTCTTGTGGATTTGTGAATTTTCTTCAGCTTTCTCCTGAATTTATATAGGAGCAATTAATGGTCTGTTCCAAGTCGGGCCCTGGTGTGGTTTTAGCTGCTGATACTGCACTTCTCTGTTGTGTCTTCCCACAGAGGTAACCAGTGTGCTTGCTGTGTATTCCATCTGGGAAAGTCCACGTGTGTAGTTGCTTTTGGTGGTGTAGAAAAAAAAGTATTTGCTATGAACAAGTCGTTGGCTTTGCAAATTTCTTCCAGATGATGCCCAGCTTCATTGGTATCATCAAGTCCATATTTTCCAACTACTACTTTTTTGCTTCCACCCTTTATATTCCAATCACCAATAACTATTAATGCATCTTGATTGCTTGTTTGATTAATTTCTGACTGAAGTTGTTGGTAGAATTCTTCAATTTCATCATCACTGGCTTTTGTGGTTGGTGCATAAAGTTGAATAATAGTTGTACTGATTGGATTTCTATGAAGGCAGATAGATATAATCCGGTCACAGATAGCAGTGTATTTCATGGTGTATTTAGCAAAATCCTTTCTGACAATGAGTGCCACGCCTTTCCTCTTGATTGTGTTCTTACTGCCATTGTACTCAGACCAACCCATTTCAGCTCCCTGATACCTGGGATGTAGATCTTCATGCATTCCATTTCATTTTTGACCAGTTCCAGTTTTCCTAAAGTCATTACTTTCGCACATTCCAAGTTCTAGTCATTAGAAACCTCTTAGAGCTGGTTCTCTTGACCTTGAGAGGTGCCCCATCAGCAAGTGAAGATCCCAAAGGCTCCATTCCCACAGGCTTTGCCCAACTCATGTCACCATGGTTGCTCCCCTACAAAACATCATCTCTTCTGTCACATTTCGACGGCCC